GATTCATTAGTCTATTTTCTTCTCACTTGCTCCAATATTTTATACCCCACTTAATTGTCTTTGGTGATCACTGTCTTGTGATACTCTCCACCTACATCAATGCACCCTCTATCCTGGCACTGTATATAAGCCTCTCATTCAAATAATTTTATCACTTTTTTTCGATAAAGTATCGCTAAGGGGTTTATCAGTATTATGGTTGTTTGGAGATACTTTGAACGTTATTGTGTTATCTATTTGATTTTGTAATAATAATGATAATTAAAAAAAATTTTTTTTCTTCTTCCAATTGGCAAACTGATTATGGTATGAATTCCTGGGTTATTATTTCTGGCATGGAGGCATATTGGGTCTCTCCCACCTCTGATATCTAGTATTGCACAACAATAGGGGGTGGGGGGAGAGAGAGTCACTTTCAGTTGAGACTGTCTGTGATCTTATTAAGACATATATTTGGATCTGTGGTGGTCCTCAGGGGGGCTATGAAGCTGCAGTAGAGGTCAATCGTCGACATTTTGGGGAGACTTTAGATTAGTCTTTTCCTTGCCTTCTTTTACTCTGTTGGATTTTCCACTCCTGTGGGTCAGTGGTAAGTTTATGGACTCGCAGCTCTGGGGTCCGGGGTTCGATTCCTTAGGATAGATGCAGCAGATGGCCAGAAGTTGCTTTGCTCTAACAAAGCAACTTATTTTACCTCAAAAAAATGCTGTTCCAATCAATGATAATCACCATGGTCTTTAAATGACCTATGAAAAACAAAAGGAGGCCACTTTGGGATAAGCTGCCTTTGATTTGTTTTTCTTCTGTTGGATCTTTGATGGCTGAAATGTCTGGAAGTGAACTTTAGTTGTGTTTTTTCTCCATACACGGATATTGTGGTTCATGCTGGAAGGTTTGCTTCTTAGTTACATGAAGGGAGAGTTAGGCCTTATCAGACTCGTTGTTGGAACTTTGTGATTTCGCATACCACCACCAGGTGGAGGTATTTTTTCAGACTCTCAGATAATACATCTGCTTCTCAAATTTCGGGGTTCTAAGGTGGAGTTTGTAGTTCACTTATATAGTCTATGTCTCCTGGTGGGACAGAGTGAGTTTATGGACTTACAAATGAACTTTAACATTTTGTTTCCTTTCACTTCACTTTTTTAGAATACTCTCTGGATCACCAGCTTCTTTGAGGATGAGCTGAATCCATTGTCAGCATGCACGTTGGTACAAATTTTGCCTTCTACATTCCTTCCGGTTGTCATTGGAGTCTTGAATTTCATTGACACTTACTGGAGGTTCATAGTTCCACCCCTATTCATGAGTACTGACCCCTGACATCAGCTCCTTTGTACATTGGTGCTCAGAATTGGTTCTGTCTATATCCAAGGTTTCCAATGCTTAGTCAGATTGCCAGCAGTGTAGGTGATTATTGTATACCTGCAGGGACTATGGGGGCTTGATTCCAAGAATTTCTGGACATGTGATAATCTTAACTATGGGTCCAGAAGCTCTGCAGGCCCTTGGGTCACAATTGGTTGTTCAGTTCACATCTTCACTATGAATCACCCAACCTGTAGGGTTATCTGAGTCTGTTTGATTTTGGGGTAGTGAGAATGTTGGGCTAGTTCTTCAGAATTGTTGGGCCTGTGAAGACAGGAGATTGGTGTCCAGTCATCGATCTTCTTTGTCTATATCTATGCCTAGATTCTCCAAGGTTCACAAGTTACTCTATCCTCAATCTTTTTACTGGGATTGTAGATGTCCAACTTGGTTGAAGTTGACTCCTATCTGCACTTTGCCTTAGCAGTTGAGGCCCACCACTATTGGCATTTGTGGTGCACAAGGATCAGGTACTGCAGTTCCGGGTTTTTTCCTTCGGACTCGACTAGGCTTAACATGAGTTCTGCTGTATCATACGAGTTTTCTCATCCCATTCATTCCAGCCTATGCATGAGCCTACTTGTAATACTGGTTCAGGTTTGATGCTCATCTATCCAGTTGGGGTGTGCATGATCCTTCTTTTTGATCAATATTGGGTCAGTGTATTATTCATGGAAGGAGGTCCACTATCTTCTCGTAATTCCGAATGCAGAGGTCCTATCCTGGGTTCTTGGTTGAGTACAGTTGCTCCACATCCTCCCATAATTCTGAGACAAGTGGAAGGAGTAAGGATGAATGTTCATAATTCCAGACTGAATGAGTTCTGTTTCTTTGGTTGAGTGAGGCATACACGATATGGTCATTCAGGTGGTGGAGAAGGTTTGTCCATTTCGGTGTTGCTTACTTTCTCGTTGTGATTCCAGTGGTTTGTAATGCATCACTCTATGGCTACAGGTTGGGATCCAGTCAAAAGTATAACTGTATCTAACATTGCAGTCCAATTGTCCGAGCCACCAACATGGGGTATAGGGACCAAGACCCCTTAATTCCATCCCTAAGTATTGGAACCTTGGCTGTGTGGTTGAGTTTGATCTTTAGTGATGATCACTCGTGTACAGTTCCATCCTTGATACAGGAACTAAGTTCGGGATGAAGAGCATACCTGTTCTAGATGTAGTGCTGTTCCCCCACTCGGGTACCACTATTATCTTGGTACATCCATGATGTATGCAGACGCTTTCTATATGGGTAATGCCCTCACTGGCTCCTCCACCTTCTCAATGTGGGATTCTAGCTATAAGTGGCAGCAGAGGCAAGTGTGTTTTAGAAGTTAATATTTTCCTAAATTGAAAATCTATTTCCAATAATACTTAACTCTGCTGACACTCTTCTGCCCTTCCTCCCCACTAAGAGCCGGTGTTAGAGACTGGGATGGTATCAGTCTTGAAAAAGTGATAAAAGTATCTGAATGAGGTGCTTACATACAGTACCAGGATAGAGGGTGCAGTGACGTGGGTGGAGAGTATCACAAGACAATTATTGCCAAGGGCAAGTGAGTAGGATATAAAAGACTGGAGCAGCGAGAAAAAATCAGACTAATGCTAACATGGGCAAAGAAGAAACCCTGGCAGTTGAGAAATAGCTACAAATGTCAGCAGAGGTAAGTATTATTAGAAATACATTTTCAATTTAGGAAAATGTTAAAATTTCAGTAGTAAACTCCAATTAAATACCATCATGTTTCCAGTGATAAGTTCTAACTAAATACCCTTATGTTTCTTGTGATAAGCTCCAACTAAATACCCTCATCTTTCCAATGGTAATTTCCAGCTAAATACCCTCGTGTTTCCACTGGTAAGTTCCAACCAGTACTTTCATGTTTCCACTGGTAAGTTCCAACTAAATACCCTGATATTTGTTGTGGTAAGTTCCAAGTAGATACCCTCCTGTATCCAGTGGTAAGTTCCAACTAAATACCCTTATTTTCTCATTGGTAAGTTTGAACTAAATACCCTCATGTTTCCAGTAGCAGATGTATCTTTAGTAGGATTGAGTGAAGATGTGTTAGAAATATATAATAGTTAAAAATATAGTCATCTGGTTTTATATATAAAAAACTGGTTGTAAGATTTTTATTTACTTACATATCATTCATTTTGAATACATCTAATGAACAGTAAAATTATTTAAGCATTTCGTATTTGCATTCACTATAAAAGAATATCCCTACAGTGTTGTTCGAGCTCAGCATTTCTGGAATGATTTATAGTAGCAAATATACTCTTGTGATGAGCATAATATAATGTACTTACTGTAGAACATATTATACAGTATTTGATTACCAGGGCATAATACTCAGAGGAATAATGTACTTACTATATGATTTTTGTTTACCAGGAGTGAAAAATTGGAGGAGTAATGTCTATTTTGTTAATTCTTCACTGTCATTTCAGTTACAGAAACTCCAGGATCTCAACCATGTGACACTGGGAGACGTTCTAAATTGCCAGCTCCAAAACCTGACACAGGTGACATAAGTTTGTGGAATTTATTATGCAAGAACATAGGGAAAGATCTGTCTAAAGTGAGCATGCCAGTAACACTGAATGAACCACTCAACATCCTTCAGGTCTGAGTGATGATGTTTTGAGTTTTATTTATTTCTATATTACTAGATTTCAGGTGTATTTGAGATTTGTTTTTTCAGGAGCAAAACTTTAAATGGTGCATTCCAGAATTATATCACTCACTGCTGAAAGTTTTTTACGTTTAAATACACACAACACTTTCATCTCACTGCTTTGATACAAAAACTATTCAGAGTTTCAACAACGCAAATCCTATAAACATTACTTACTAAAAGATTTTGTAAACTGATCCAAATACAGTTTTTATAATAGCATAAACCAAAGATTTTATTATTATATAAGCATATATATATAATCTTATAGCTAATATTATTAACTCTCTTAAACCCATAATTTTTTGTGCTTTCTGCTAGAATTAGTTTCACGGTTTCCTAATAATTATCACTATACCTTATCAAACTTCAATTTTCTTAATTTTGTAGATAATAACATGGTTTGGATTAGTTTTCAGCCAAAGAGACATAAGTGTTATTGTATGATGCTGTCATTGTCCGATGGAGTTAAGTAACAGTAAAGTATGCTGATAAAAAAAACAAACAAAGGAGTTCTCACACTTGCTTATTCCTTTAAACTGATTAAAATTATAAAGCTTACATCGGCAAACTTTTGGTTTGAATGGAAATAATCAGTGAAACAAGATGTAATTTTTGATATATATATTTTTTCTTTTCACTGCAGAGAATGTGTGAAGAACTTGAGTACAATGAGCTCTTAGAAAAAGCAGATGAAACAGAGGATGCTTTTGAACGCATGGTAAGTAAAATCAGGATTTATTTCTTTCCATTCCTTATTGGTAAGTGTTTTGTAGATCCACTTGTAATTATTTTATACAATGTGGTAGCTCTTACAGTGAGACTGAACTACTATTAACTGTTATTTTATAATACTAAGTAATATAATGTGTTACATCTTGTTACGACAGTGGAAGTCATGTGACGCTGGTAACACATCATGAGTATCTAGAAGGATCATGACTGTTCCCGGCAACTCTAGTCTTTTCTAGGCGCCATCTCTATTTTAATATATAAGCCCGGCAAATAAAGCGGAGATGATAATTGCAGCTAGGCGGATATAGAGACAGATAATTGAATGAAGTGAGCGGTAGCGACGGTAATATAAAGTGTGTGTTTAGTTATCGAGATTGCAAACGTATTGACTGTGGAAATTCTGTGTATTACAAAGTTGTATCGAGAAAGAATAAACTAGTTTTAATTAAGAAGGGACTTGTATCGCTGAAGTCACTCGGAAAGAATTTTTACCGGAAATTATCAAACAAGCAGATACATAACGATCTAAAGAAGTAATGCTGTTTAGTGATAGAATTATTTTACTGGTCAATGTAAAGTGCATTATTAATGATCAGGAAGATTATTTTACATCAGTTACATGTTTCTGGAGGAGTTTTTAACTGTAGTTCTGCAAACTAGAGATGCTACTTAGAGGTCGTTTTGCAGAGACGGCTAGAAAAAGTCATCTGGAAAAGGATTTCGATGTAAAAAACATATTGTGAAATTTTGAAGAAAAAATATTGAGTAGAAGTCGAGATATGATCGAATGAATATACAGACTTCATAGTACTAAAGTCAATAGTAATATATGATTCATACTACACATTGGCATGGTTAAAATACTTCTTATGCCTTTGTTACAATGCAGAAACAAAACTCTTTACTTGCTTCATCTCCAGATAATTTGCATAATTTATCTGAGCAGAAGTCTGATTTCTGAATTGCATTAATACCTTCTTCTGATCGATTTTATAACCAGATTCCACCACAATTGGACTGATGACCATTCTGAACTGTTCTTGAATACCACTGATTTTTGTCGAGATAGTTCTGTGCTTCTTATATTTGGACGTCAAAGACGAAATTCTCTGACAAACTTCCATTTCACTTGGCAAATCAAGGCGTTCAGGATATTTCTGGCGGAAGATTTCGAGCATACGACTCAGTCCAATTTTATTCGGTTTGTCTTCTATGCCTAGCATGTACATTTCGTCTATCTCAGCTTTGAAATGTTCAATGTACATAGCACCATACACTTTTCCATAAGCAGGTCGCTTAGCCAACCCAAAACCAAATAATTCTGGTACAAAGTTGGTATCATCGTATTGTAAGTCATGAGCATCAGAAGAAATATTTCTACAGATCATCATATCAATGAAAGCAACTTGTCCTTGGTCTATTAGCATTTTGGTATGTCTAATAGCTGAAGTTAGTAAGTCATTTTTGGTTCTGGCACCTCGATAGACATGTTGCTCTTTCTTCATCAAGGAGGCGAAAGACCGCTCACATACCACACACTTTGTTGGATCCTCTGAATATTCTCCTAACTCATCTAAAGTAATTCGTCGTCACTGACTCCATATCTGCCATCTGTAAATATTAACTCTACCTGCCTACAATGAAAACACACAGTTTGTTAGCTTTCCACGGAATTCAGTCACATTCACATCCTCAACAAAGTCCCCAGATCCCAACTCATCAATAATCACATCACTGATATCGTCTCTTCATGACCACTTGGCTCCATTTCATCATCACATCTGGCTCGATTGTTAATCGTTCATAGGATCATTTGGCTCTTGTTCATCACCACATTATCCTGAAGCTGTATTACTGGAAACAAACTTCGGCTTATGAGGGTCAGTCATGTCAAGAAGGACTGAATACATTCTTGAATACTCGTAGAGTCGATTATATAATTGTCTTCAAACACAGCTTCATTGAATCGTCCAACTTTTGAGAGAACTTTATCTACTGCTTCCGATTAATCGTTCATCAGTTCAATACTTTTTTTTTTTATCTAGGTCAAATATAGAAACCACAGTACTTGCTACCCCACCATTACATTGCAGAGCTTGTTGTAATATCACGTTATTGCCCATATTCACACATTTAGTAATAAGATGCATTGCTGTTGCAAAGTATGCATCGATACATCCTTTTCCATTCTGTGTCTCTGTATGTACAAAGGATTTCAATTCAAAACCATATGCCTTTGCCAGAAGTGCCATTCCCAGTATAAGATATCCATTTTCATAGCATTTTGTGTTGTTGGATTGAATGATGGCATTCTGAATGGTCTTTTTTCATTTTCATCATGACGCCTTCCAATATTGATAAGGCTGCCACCAAATCTTGCTGGGAATCTTCACCTGATATGTCATCATAATATGATCTTTGAGTCTTCAATTCACCATTTTCGTCTAATGTAGATACTGCTTTCGTATACACCATTGTACCATGCCAGCTAAGACCCTTCTTTCAGTAATGATCTGTTGTTTTCTCTCTGAAGTAAATGGGTTGATATTTCATCTTGTAATTCATAATGACTAAAGCCTCATACAATTTCAATTGACAGTGAATTTCGTGAATATGCCTGCATTAATTCTCTACTCTAATTCGATGTCCCGTATACAATTTCATTTTATGTCTACAATCTCGAAGTAACATATGATGTCCAGAAGGGAAATTGGCATTCTTCATATTTTGTACTTGGAATTGGATTTCCATGACCTTATGTGTATTCGATGCAATGTGATGTAGCATTATCCTTAGCAATATGAGCGTTGAAGTCATACTTGAGAAAATGCTCGAGCTTCATCAACATCCACATACATTTGTCTTTCACATGAGGGCTTTCGATTGTCCCAATTATCCTACTCAATAGTCCCATATTATCGTACAACAAAATTATTAACAACATTTGATCAGAAATCTCAAAAAGCTGTTGATAATGCTTCTGGACTGTTACCATTTTGCAGAATGATGTATGTGATATTCGTATATCCACAGACGTAAATCGTTCAAAGTAATCACAATAAAGGAACTCAACGATCTTTTGTCTCGTAAATCATGGAAAATCATACTTTTTTTTAGATCTAAGTAAATTTTCTCTGTACCCAAGATAAAGGTAAAATGGTGTCTGGGCCTCAAAATAAATTCAACAGCTTGTTTGACAATACTACGATTGTATCTTGCCACATAGTGAACTGGACTTACAAGCTCAAAACCCTGCATCAATCTCCGGTAATGTTGATTCGTGGTATCAAATGCTATCCTACCCACTATAAAGCTTCTGCGGTCGTCTGTGTCATAGTTTGACATTGAAGTGCCATAACTACTTTCCTCTGAATTGATTTTTCTGGTAAGGCTGCCTGTACTCCTCTCACTGCTTCCCAAAGTTTATCTTGCTTACCACTTCCAACAATTACTTCACCAACAGCCTGTAATAATCCATCAGGATCTTTTGGTAACAGCCTAGAACGAAGTACTCCTAAAGCTTTCCTACAAAATGCAACAAGCCGAGCTTTTCTATTCAGATCATTGAACATTCTACATGCTTGTTCAGATGGAAAATTCGATATGGACGTATATTCCATTCCAAGAAATGTCCAAATATCATGCAAATCAGTTCCTGATAAACAATTTGTACCAGTCAATGTACTTGATCTGGATTTGTGCTTTGTTCTCGATCTCTTTGTCGCCTTAGTAGATTTGGCGGGTACAAGATCCATGTCTTCATTATCCATGCCATCAGAACAATCCATGTCACCACTTACTTGCATTGTTGGAATTGGATTTCCAATATCACTAGAACTGCTCATGTCATTTGTGTAACCGATGTTATCTTTTTGCCATTGTCGCTACTTTTTTATGCTACACTCATAGGTTGCTTTCCTCCAGCAATACGTCATAATTTGACTTGTGGATCTAATCCATCACATCTACTGTACTTAAAACACATAGCACAGCTCTTAGATTTACATTTACATTTTAATGGCTCCATTACTTACAAATCTGTGCCTCAGAAGTATGGACAAAATCCTGATGAAGCTTGGATCTCAGCCCTCAAATCACCCCTGAAGATGAAAAGGGTTTTTAATCGACATCTTTTTCCCAGTAAAATTCAGCTACAAATTTTAACCAATCAAAAGCAATTACCAGGATGACTTGAAAATTTTGGCTCTGCAAAACCTAGTCTCCCTGGTTAGGGAAACCACATTAATACACTTCAGTTCTGGACTGTTTCCTTACACTTATGATGGTGAATTATTTACTTCGAGTAATTTGACCAATAGATTTTAATGTGCTTCAATTCTGGACTGTTTGTTACTGCTTACAATGGTGAATTATATACTTTAAGTAATTTGACCTATAGATTTTATTACGCTTCAGTTCTGGACTGTTTGCTTGCTGCTTACAATGGTGAATTCCATACTTTAAGTAATATGACCTATAGATTTTATTACGCTTCAGTTCTGAACTGTTTGTTTACTGCTTACACTTAAGATGGTGATTTACTTACTTCAAGTATTTGTACCTGTATATTTTACTGTTTTGTAAAACTAACTCCAATTTGGAAACTTTCAAACTCTCACTTAGAAATTCTAAATGAAATGAAACTTTATTAAGTGTTTTTATTCTTATTAGTAGTTTCAAAATGATGAAGGAAAGTATCAAAATATGTATTATTTTAGTCTCCTGTTTGATTACAATTTTTCTATACATTTCTTTTTGTGTGTGTGCATGTTAACAACTACTTCTAAAACCAGTACAAAATGTAAAGCTATTTGGCTGAAAAAAAATGACACTTGTTAAATGGATATGTCAGTCTGAAATTATTCTTCCAGTTTTGTGTAAAAGGTGCACAAATTAGTTTTTGTCATTGTTTTGTGACAGAATCTAAAGTGATGGTAACAAATGTATTAATTCTTAATTAGCAGAGACCCACAAAACATTTTCGATAAAATTAGTGGCTTTATTGCAAGAGTACTTCTTTAAATACGGGATTTCTAGAATAATACAAAATAACTTTAATACCAAACACAGAAATCTACAAGTTCACTTGCCTTAGGCCTAACATATGTTATGCCTTTATTAAGTATTCCTATATTTGATAAAGAGATAAATTAATACTGTAACTTGTGTACATTTTTTGCTCTAGTTTAGTTAGAGTTAAACTTTATCATACTTAATACTATCAGTAAGCTTATAATGTTATTCTACAACCTAATGGTAGACATTTTTAAAAACTTTGATAAGCTTTTAATACGTTGTTGTACCAAATGTCTATTAAAGTGTATTTTAATCCACCTTTTGTTTACGTTCAATGAAAAATGAAGTGCAAGTTTAGATAGTAAGGTGCATGGACATTTTGAAGACAGACGAAAACTAAGCATTACTATAAATTTCTTTTTCTGCAGCCAGTAAGTAACCAACCTGAACCAATACAACCAGTTATAGCTGATAAGCATTAAGTATTAAAAAAGGATAAATATGTAGTTAGAATGGCATTTTGAGAAGTCAGAAATGAGAACAGAAACTGTTACAATGTTTTTAACAGTTTCACATCTTTAAAGTTCTCTGTAAGAGTTGATATCAGTATGTATAACTATGGTACACTAATTCTAATTGTAGGTTCTAAGGTCCTTCCCTCTCAGAATGAATGAAATCTTAAATCAAGGAATTTGTGGCTACATTAGCAGATTTCGGTCTATGTATAACTGTGGTTTGTTGGATTCATACATACTATACTTCAGCATGTTTACCACAGCTCAGAGTGAATGAGATCTTAGATCAAGGAATCCATGGCTGTACAAACAGGTCTCAGTCTATATGTAACTGTAGCTTTTGGATTTGTATATATATTACTATATATATATGCATCATTATTAAAGCTTGGAATGATGGAATATTAGGATCATGGAAATAGTAGCTGTTTTAGCTTGAGACCTGATTTTATTGAGAATGCTTTAATCTTTAAACTTTGGTAGTTAAATAATTATTAAATAAGTATTACTAATATTTACCTAAATATTTAATTTTATCCTTCCTTAAGGTATGCTTGAGTGTAATGCTTCATTTTTAACCAGTTGAAGGATTTTCTATGTATTCAACATACACACAGTAACCTTTCTTTTAAAACAAATTGTAAATGGAGACTTAAGTATCCTGTACTCTTTTCTTGTAACCTTTTTTTTTATCACTTTTAAGTTCAAAGAAATGACTGATGTTAAAGCAGTTGAACAGGCCCCTTAACCAGTTTGCATAATATCACTCATTATTTGTGTCATAGAAGAAGTTTGATTTATATTTTATTCATGTAATGTATGAAAACTAATTGATTTGTTTTTCTCCTCAGGTGTATATTGCAGCATTTGCTGTATCAGCTTACAGTTCATCTTATTACAGAGCTGGACATAAGCCATTCAATCCACTTCTGGGAGAAACCTATGAATGTGTTCGCGAAGACAAAGGGTTCAGATTTGTGTCAGAGCAGGTAAAGTGTATAATTAATAACAGTGTATGCTGCTGTGACCATGAATTCTTCTGTAAACTTTACATCACTTCCCAATAAGTGCCTAGTTTATGTGTAGATGTAACATTTTATTATGATCAAACAATCCGACTCCACCCTGTGATAGTGGTTGTTTTTATCTGCAGCTATAATGTGCTTGTTGGTGTATATGGAGGTTCAAAAAAGATTTGGAAAGAAAATAGATCAAAGCATTTCTTAATAATTGACTTTCCTTTGCTGACCGAAAAATAATTGTTTGTTTTATATAATATACACCTGGAAAAAAGTTAAGCACCCCCAAATATTTTTCAGGATTGCTTATTGAAAATAAGGTTTAATTTTCATGATGTTGAGCAATGTTCATAATTTCAAATATAATTAAAAGGATGTGAGT